ACTCCTCCTCTTTCTCTCTCCTCTCTCCAACAACCCACCAAGGCACCACCACCAATTCTGCCACCCTAAACGGCTAAACTCCGACCACCCAAGAACCCAACCCTAACACCAACCACCCTAAACGGTTAAACCCCGACCACCCCAGAACCCCAACCACGAAACTCGACTAAACGGCTAATTTGGGTCGGGTTTAGGGTGCGGAGGGGTGGAAACGGGTCGGGGAGGGTCAGGGGTTGTCGGTTACTGGTCGGCGGGCGGTGGGGAGGTCCGGGGAGGGTCGGGCTGGTTTGGGAAGGTCGAATAGGGTGTTTGGTGTGGTGGTTAGGGTTTAGATCGTAGGGGGTTTTGGCGGTTGGGGAGGTTGCGTCAAGGGGTGGGGGGTGAGGGGAGATCGTCCGAATCCGACAACCCCCGATGGTGGGGCTGGTTGGGGGTGGGGGGAAGTTTTCGGGGAGTGGGGGAGGTGGCTGGTGTTGGTTTTTTTTTTCTGTTTTATTTTTTCTTTTAATTTTTTTTGTTTTTTAATAATTAAAAAAATAATTAACCAATAAATGACTGACATGTGGCACATAACTTACAAAAATCGGTCATCAACAGGTAATGGATCTGTGAGAGAAGGTGGGGTGCAAAGGTTTGGATTTTTTTTGTCAGACCTCACAAAGGTTGGATTTTTAGATTCCATTTTTCCTTATTAATATTAGGAAAATTTGAATTTTCGTACCTCGAATATGAGCTAATTGAATTTTCGTACTTGTTTAAAATTTATTTTTAAATTGGTACCTCCAAAAACACATAACTGTAGATTTCAGTACCTCCGTCCATGTTCCATTAAGTTTTTCGTTAGTGGGGTCCATTATCTAATTATTTAATAATTTAAATTATTAAAAAAAAAGAAAAAAAAAATTAATTAAAAAAAACTTAAAAAATTGAAAAAAAAAACCACCAGCCACGCTTCCCAGCCACAACAGCTGCCGCCGCGGCCAGGCAGAGGTGCCCATAAACACACCACCCACGAACCCAGAGACCCACCACCCACGAACCCCGGAAACCCACAACCCCACCACCCACGAACCCCAAAACCCACCACCCACGAACCCGCGAACCCAGAAACCCACCACCCCACCACCCACGAACCCTGAAACCCCAAAACGAACCACCTTTCACCACAAAACGAACCACCTTATTTGAAAACCCCCACATCGCCGCGGCCAGGAACGGGGAAGGAAGGGTAGACGGTGGATGGTTGCGCTAGCATTTCGGGGAAGTGGAAAAAAGGGAGGGAAAGGGAAAGGGAGGGGGTGGGGTGCCGCGGCCAAGAACGAGGAAGAGAGGGAAGATGGTGGTGGTTGAGCTAGGGTTTCGGGGAAGGGGAAAACAAGGAGGGAAAGGAAAGAGGTGGCCGGCGTCGGTGCCAAGGGAATTCGGCCACCAACAGCCGGAAGCCGACGCTGGCGTAGGTGGCAGTGGCTGATTTTTTTTATTTTATTATTTTTTAAGTTTTTTTTATGAAATGTTTTTTTAATAAATTAAATTATTAAATAATTAGATAATGGGCCCCACTAACAAAAAAACTTAACGGAACTGGACGAAGGTATTGAAATATACAGTTATGTGTTTTTTGAGGTGCCAATTTAAAAATAAATTTTAAACGGGTACGAAAATTCAATTAGCCCCATATTCGAGGTACCAAAATCCAAATTTTTCTTAATATTATGTTGCTTGATATTCATTGTTATTGTTTTATCACGCCTTTTATGCATGTTTAAAGGGAATTTGTACTTGTAATCATGCTTAATAAGATAATTAATAATCTTGTTTAAGGTTAATATGATTATTATTCAAGTGATCGCCAATAATAGATTTATTTGTGCATTAATATTCAACCAACATAGATAAACAGGTTTAGGGTTAACCTATTGATTGTATGTTAGTCAGAAAGCGCACATGAATACGAGAAGAATATAGTAGAGACCTATTTTTAGGGCAAGTTCAATCTCTTTTAGGTTGGTTTTGTACCTTCATCCCTGAACTTCTAGTCATGGTTCCAAACCTATTGGATTTAACGATCTCCTGGATCGTTAAGGGGTGTAACCTTCACCCTTTGAACTATTTACAAGTTCCTAAAACTTGTTGGTGACTTTTTTACTCTAACTTCATTCCCTTTGGACGCCATCATGCTTAAGTGTATGATCACAGTGGGGCTCAAGTGTGGGATAACTTGAAATATTCCCAACACCTTGTCTTTCAAAAGAGATCGGAAACTCTTTCTTTCGAGTGATAAAAGTTCCTCCCAAAAGTAGGAATCATTATTATAAACCTAAAAAAACTTTAAAGAAATGAGGATTAGGGCTTTCCACCGATACGATTAAATCCAATGGAAGCCCCTTCAAAATTCAACAATGGAGGCTGGGGTTTTAGAGAGAGAAAGGAGGAAAGAGGAGAGAAGTTTATGAGTTAGCAATAAATCATTAAAAAGGACAGAAAGAAAAAAAAAATTTAAAAAAAGTGTTATTTGTGGATGATAAAATACGAATTTTTCATATTATAATTATACCAATTAATAAAATAAAGGAAAAATTGCTCCCATTAATCTGAACTTTGCCTCGTCCGCCGAAAATAATCTCAACTTTCGTTTATTATCTATTGCACCGAACTTTGGGGGGTATTAATTTTCGTTGCACCCAACAGGTCATCTAACCTGATGTAGCAGGTTAACTATGGCTTAATTTTTTTTTTTAAATAACAAAACACAAAAAAAAAAATTAAAAAGCCCACAAACCACCTATACCTAGCGACTGCCACCACACCCCCACCCCCACCCCCACCCCCGGAAACCCTCTCCCCTGCTTCCGGAAACCACCGCCCAGCTTTCCCCCTCCCTCGAAACCCACCCCTTCCCTTCCCCCACCCCCGAAAACCCCTCCTCCACCCCCAAAATCACCCCCTCCACCCACGAAAATTCGGGCTAGGATTGTTTGGGATGAAGTTGTTGGTGATTATCGGTGGTTTATCAGTAGCTGGGTGGGATTTTCGGCGCCTGTGTGGGGTTTCGACGGGTTTACGGCGGCTAGGTGCGATTTTTAGGGTGGTGGTTATGGTGGTTTCTGGGGTGGGATTGTGCGTCACAGGGTAATTTCAGGGGTAGGTTTTGTTGGCGGGGTGGTTTTCAGTATTTAGGGGTTCCGACCGGCCATTTTCATGGGTTTATGGTGGCGGTCGGCCGGTGTTCGGTGGGGCTAGGGGAACGGTTAGGGTTTGGCGGTGGTTGGGGGGTCGCTGGTGGTGGTCGCTGGTGGTGGTCGGTTTTTTTCTTTTTTTAAGTTTTTAATTTTTTTTTCTATTTTTTTCAACCAATTACATGTTGACACGTGTGCAAAAAAAATAAATCAGAAATGTTTACCTGGTTTACCAGTTGCAGGTTATTTGGGTGCAATAGAAATTAATACCCCCTAAAGTTCGATGCAATAGATAATAAACGAAAGTTGGGATTATTTTCGGCGAACGAGGCAAAATTAAGATTAATGGGAGCAATTTTTCCTAAAATAAAAAAGAAATTGGCAGGAGAAATCGTTAAGTAGTAGAGTATTTGTAACCAAACTATTCATATGGTGGATAAAAGGTAGGAAGACCATTTTTACCAACACTTGCCTATTTTACAGTCATTAGTAGTTCCCTAACTTTAATTTGTATGCGTACTTGTTTAATACAAAGTATATAATAGAGTAAATACTTTTCACCTTAATTTATCCTTTACAAAAGGAAAATTTGATAAAAATAATTTCAACATTTGCCGATTCGTTCAAAATAATCTCAAATTTGGATTATTTGACATTAAAATAATACGAACTTTGGGGGGTACTCTCTTTAAATGGTCTCAACCGGTGACCCAACCTATTATATCAGGTTATGGGGACACGACACACCATACGTTTGGTTGAAAAAAAAATTTAAGAAAAAACAAAAAAAAAAATTAAAGAAAAACCAAAAAAAAAAAAAAACAAAATTAATAAAAGAAGTCCAGCCCCCACCCATGACAATCCTTCCAGCCACCGGTTGCTTTTGGAGCCCCCAACCACCACCTCCAACCCTCCCTCACGCCAGCACTGTCTCCCATACCCTAGCTCACGCCGCCGACGCCGGCGTTTCCCACCTCCTTACCCTTAAATAATCTAACCTCCACCGCAAAACAAAACCACCAAGCCCTCAAGTTAAAAGACCAGCCCCACCGCAGAAACCCCCCAATCGACCCTCCCCAACTCTCGGAACCCTAGTCGCTAGGATTGGGGGGTTTCAGCGGTGGGACTGGGTTTTTTTTATGGGCTGGTTTTGCGGTGGGAGTTTTGGTGGTTTAGGGGTTAGGTGGAGGGGGAAGCATTGGATCCGGCGCTGACACGGGGAGGGAGCTTTGACAGCGGCAGTTAGGGTCTGGGCAATGAGTGACGGTGGCTACCGAAAATCCAGTTGGTGGTGGAGGTTTCGACTGGTTTGGTATTTTTATTGTTAACCAATAATATGGTGACATGTCACATAAATCCAAAAAAAATTACCTTTTTAACAAGTTATTGGTCACCCGGACCATTTAAAGCAAATAACCCTTAAAATTGGAATTATTTTGAGCGAATCAATAAAGCTCAAGATTATTTTTGTCAATTTTTCATGTACAAAATTATAAGGTAATAGCTCAACATATCTCCAACATTCATTTATTTCATCCACATGGTAAAAGCTTGGAACTTGCAAGCATGCGGGAACACGGCGTTCGGCCGGCCTTGTGATCAGTTTCCCCATTAATTTTCCGAAGATTCCATACCTCAATTTCACTACAAAAAACACTCGTCATTATGCATGCTAACTCTTCTATACTCGCGGTTACTTTGCGACATGTGTTATTAACATAATAGCATCTACTTACCACTGACCTTCCTATATATTTCCGTACAACATCTTCTTTAATTCATCCATCAAACAAAACAAATAAACAAACAGACAAACGATATATCATGAGTTTCAAGTCAAAGATCCCTTTGTTTTTCTTGTTCATTTCTGTTCTCCTTACTTCAACTTTAGCCATCCAACTTCCCAACCACCACCAAGACGCACGACATGAGCTGATGAAATGCATGGAGCATTGCCAGACACGGCAAGACGGCCGTGAGAAGCGCGAGTGTATTCAAGAGTGTCACCATGGTTATAAGGAGAGGCAACAGGAGGAGGAGGAGAGAGCGCGATGGGGTGGTGGTTATGATGAGGAGTTGCTTGGAGCAATGATCAACCCTAGTGATCATGATTCTAAGGAGGACTTAGAGAAGTGCCAGCTTGACTGCTTGAGTGAAGCGAAGCGTGGCGTGGTTAAGGAGTTGGAGTGTGTAAAGAAGTGTGTTGAGGAGCATAAGGAGGACAGAGGTAGACATTTATTTGATAAGTATGACTTGTTAGAGGACAAGTCTGATGAGGTTGAGATGAAGTGCCAGCTTGATTGCTTGAGTGAAGCGAAGCGTGGTGTAGAGAAAGAGTTGGAGTGTGTGAAGAAGTGTGTTAAGGAGCACAAGGAGGAAAAACGGAAGCGTAGAGAAAGACAAAGAGGCGGACACTCTGATGACAAGGGTAGCGAGTTTGAGAGGTGCCAACTCCATTGTGTGAGTGGTGCCAAGCATACATATAAAGAGGTGTACGAGTGTGAGAAGAAGTGTTACGATGATTATTTTAAGGATCCAGAGATGAGTTTGGAGATGCAAAGAGGTAGGCAATCTGTTAATAAAGATGAAAACAACAACAATGACCACTCAGACGACGAGCACGAGTTTAAGAAGTGCTTGATCGATTGTGGGATGGGTGCCAAGCATACAATCGTCGAGGTCTACAAGTGCGAGATGGAGTGTGTTAAGGATTATCAAGACGAGCAAAAGAGGCATAGGGAGAGTCCATCAGGTAGGCAATATGTTGATAAAGATGACACCATCAATGACGACCACTCAGACGACAAGCACGAGCTAAAGAAGTGCTTGATCGATTGCGCGTTGGGTGCCAAGCATACCGTAGAGAAGGTGTGGGGGTGTGAAATGAAATGTATGAAGGACCACCCGGAGAAGCGAGATGTAGTAGTGGTAAACCAGCAGGATCATAAGAAGTGTCAACGACAATGTTGGAGGAAAAGCCCAGGTGGTAATAGTAGTGTGGAGTATGAGTGTACGACAGTGTGCCGCCAGGATGACGGAATTAACCACGGTGTCAATGTGGTGAAGGAAGCCAAGAACACACTTATCGAATGCCTGAACAAGTGCCAAAGCCAAGGAGAAGGACATGGATGCCAACAAAGATGCCAAAAGGAGTACCAAAGGAGGCACCCTGTATTAGGTTCGATCATAGAACTAACTGCTGGACTGTTTTAAGTTGAAAGTGATTAATGAAAATAGGAAGTATGTGGTTGGTATGCATGGTATGGTACGTAGTTTAATCATGAATGTAACTATGAAGTGTAGTAAGTTGCATGAATTGTCAGTCACTCTTTTATCTTTTTGTTTTCAAGGTACTTTAATCTGTAACTTCTATGCCATGTTGTTTAAGACTTAAAGGGTGTAGTTACCACTCTTTTATCCTAGTGTTTATGATATAAATAAAGAAACTAGTACCTCAGCCTCCTTTATTAATTTTCTTTCATTTTTCCCATTTTATGGATCGATCTTTTAATTTGAAGAAAAAATCCTTTTTAACTGTAAAATTATTTGATAATAAGTAGATTAAATATATGTTAAAACAATTTAATTGTTTAAGGAAGTTAAAAAGAAGAGAAATTTCCATTAGTACCACTGTAGATAGTTTTAACTTTTATTAAAGATATAGGGTCTGTTCACATTTACTTAATTTCAGTTCAGTTCAGTTCAGTTCAGTTCAGCTCCAAATAGTTTAGTTCAGCTATTCGTAACGGACATATGATTTTCCGTTACAATTAAGTCATTCGTAACGGGAAAATTCAATGTCCGTTACAAAAAAGTTGTGAATTGGGCAGGAAAAGGGTTATTCGTAACGGACAAATTGGTGCCCGTTACGAATAAGTTGTTATTCGTAACGGACAGATTGGTGCCTGTTACGAATAAGTTGTTATTTGTAACAGGCATTATTCTACCCGTTACGATTAACTAACTAATCGTAACCAACAAATATTGCCCGTTACAAATAGAAAAGTCAACAGAATTTTGACCTTGTTATTTGTAACTAACATGGGGTGTCCGTTACGAATAAGGTTTTAAAGTAAGCCCTAAATTTTTACTTTCCCCTTTCTCACTCCTTCCTCTTTCTCTCTCCAATATTGAAGCAACTCCCGCGCGCAACGTCGTCCTCACCTCCCTCAACTCCATTGAAGGAGCTCCAAGCTCAGTTCAATCTTTTGCTCCTCTCATTCTCACTCTTCTCCTCCATTGAAGCGCACTTTGAGTTCTCCATTATTGAAGCGCACTTTGAGTTCTCCATTATTGAAGCGCACTCCGAGTTCTCCATTGAAGGGCTTTTTGAGTTCTCCATTGAAGCGCTGTCTGAGTTCTCCATTGAAGCGCTCATAGTTCTCCATTAAAGCGTACTCTTTCTCTCTCCTCCCCCAATTTCGTCACCCTTATTTCAGTTTGCTTAATTGCAATTACTTAATTATAGGTTTTATTTTTTTTTCCCCAAATTAATCGATTGATTTTACTATTTTCCATTTGTTTTGGGCTTTATTATGTTTTAGTTTAAAAGCCTTTGAATTTTGAGGTAAGTATGAATTAATTGATTGATTTTTTCCCCAAATTAATCCTGCAATACTTCTCCCTGCACTAGGAACTTCTACGTGCATTATTTTTGACTGTTTGGTGGATTGTCTAAAGTGAGGTTGAAATGTACTGGTATTTTTTTGAGTGCAACTATGAATTTTAGTTACTGGTGAGCTACAAACAGACCAGAGTGGCCTGTTCTTCTGTAACTCTGTATAGTTCTAATAGGTTTGCTTCAATAAGATTAGAATTTGTACTTGTTATATGGAATAAGTATGAATTAATTGATTGATAGAAGGTGCTACTATTCATCATTCCTTATCTTGCTTCTACTATATATATTTTGCATTTGTTGGTTAATTACTTTGTATGTTTGCGCATTTTGAAACATTATGTGAATGTTAAAGGTTAGAAATTAGAATATGATTATGTTTGTAGGAGTAAGTGCAGTGTTAATTTCATCTTATGATGTCCCGAACATTTCGGATTACTTGCGTATGCATTCACATTGTTGGTTTGAGTGGGAAGTTGGATGATAAGAATTGTAAGAATGAAAACAATGTTAATTACAATTCGTTCCGTTTTGTTGGGTAGCATTTATATGTTATTTTGTATTGATGTAGTTAGTCACTATGGGCAGCAGGGAGTATTTCTCTTCAAGCATGTTGCCGTTTCTCTATTCTAAGGTTTGACTTGCAAGTGTTGATTTGAGTAGGTTGGCATTAGAGGAGATGAAATTGCTACAAAAGCAGAGGGAGAGGAGATCTGGAATTCCTGCTAATTCGATACCACAGACATCTAATGAAGCAACAAAGATAGGCGAAAAAGTCGAGGCTGATGGAGATAAAGAAGAGTTAGTTTTGCAGGATACGTTTGCACAAGAAACTGCTGTCATGATTGAAGACCCCATCTCTCTATCCAACTGCCTCAGACATTTCTGGCAGGTGGCCATCTGAATATACTGTTGATTCTACTTCTCTGGCGGCGCCAGATTATTCCATTGCTGATAACATTGCCACCAGATATGCAATCAGTATGTGATGCTACTAGTATTAGCACTACATCTATGAAAGACTCCATTGTTCCTCCTGCTGCTTTCAATATGTCTGCCTCACTGGCACCTCGGAGTGCCTCCACTTGGGCTTCTTCTGTTGGGCCGTCTCACTGTCCTGTGGCCTCTCACATTTCCTGTAGGAGACCATCAGAAACCACCACTTATTCTACTTCTCATCAGAAGTCAGAAAACTCTAACAATGCTCTTAACATTGCTATCCAAAAAGTAGTGTCTTCAATTGCTACTGTAGATGTGGCCAGTGGTCGTGCCCAATTGGCTTCTGCTTCAGAAATTGCTCGATGAAAAGTGAAATTCTTGCAACGTCCAAGATGGGATGGATTTGCTGAGGCTCTACCAGCCTATAATGGTACAACTTATTCGGGTTCTGTTCTCAGTAGCGCTCCACCTTCAGGTAAGAACATTTCCTTTGGTCAAAAAAATTATATAAATGTGTCAATTTTTTTCGAGAAAGTTTGAGCCATTGTCTATTGATCGTCACATTACTTATTCAATCAGTTAAATCTTAAATACAGAACCTATAAATTTATATAATAGTGTCATGATGAATAGTAGCACCTTCTATCAATCAATTAATTCATACTTACTCCATATATGAATTTTTGCATGAAGTAAGAAAGACGGGTAAACGTTGCAAATTCATCGTGGCTCCATATGTCGCAAGGTTCGAAATATGTTTTTTATATTGCCACTAAACTTAATCATATAAATGATATGTTTTTCACCAATTTTCTAATACTCTAACTTGTGTTTTTCTCTTAAATGATGTAGTGGTCATTTGGGTTCTTGTGGTGGTCGATCTACAATTAGGTTTAGCTTATGAGTTTGACTCTATGAAGCTACCTAAAGAAAATCCATGAAAATTGAAAATTGCCGAGATTATGATGACGTGAGCCACAACCTTGAAATTATGCCCTAGTTTCTATATCATTTTTGTATGTGGTGTTGTAGATTATTTTGTTCTAAGTGTTAGAATATATATTATTTTTGTAGGGCTTATAAAGTGTATCGGGCGAATCTCAGAGGGAGTGAATTGAAATCACAAAGGCAAAAATTGAAATTCATACAAATGGAGGTAAATATATACACTACTCACCTCATATTGTTATACATTGTTCACTTTGAAAACAAAATTTATAACTATTTGTTATATATACTAGTGTGCTCAACAACAAGGAGGCGTTGAATGTGGCTACTACATTATGAGATACATGTATGAGATTGTTACTTCTCACTTGGAGTGCAAAGGTGTCTTAGAAGAGGTTAGTAGTTTTTTTTTTTGCAAATTTTGAAACCTTTTTAGCTCTATACGCTCCCAAGAGTAAAATAATGGTCAATTGTTATTGATTTCAATTCATAAAAACCAAAATATAAGGTAATTAAGGATGTTTAGTGTTATATTGTGTTAATTTGAACAAATACTTGAAAGATGGGAAAGGTATAAGTCCCTTAGACAATTTTGAAGCGTTTTTGGCTCTACACGCTCCAAGAGTGAGATAATGGTCAATTTTCATTGATTTCAATTCATAGAAACCAAAATATAAGGTAATTAAGGATGTTTAGTGTTATATTGTGTTAATTTGAACAAATACTTGAAAGATGGGAAAGGTAGAAGTCCCTTAGGCAATTTTGAAGTGTTTTTGGCTCTATACGCTCCCAAGAGTGAGATAGTGGTCAATTTTCATTGATTTCAATTCATAGAAACCAAAAACTAAGATAATTAAGGATGTTATGTGTTACATTGTGTTAATTTGAACTAATACTTGAAAGATGGGAAAGATAGAAGTCTTTTAGCACAATTTTGAAACCTTTTTGGCTCTATACGCTCCCAAAAGTGAGTAAATGTTAACTTTTTATTGATTTCAACTCATAGAAATCAAAATATAAGTCAATTAAAGATGTTATGTGTTTTGTTTCTATATTATGAGTTTTATTTCTATAATTTGGTTCATCACATTTATTCTAATGATTGTTTTTATTATGGATTGTTTTTATTTTGTAACCTCTTTCATATGTTTTTTTTTTTTCAATAGGATTTTTGTCCAAGGACTGCCCCGTATGATGTTGACAAGTTGAATGTGGTTCGAGAACAATGGGCGCAATACTTTAGAAGTAAATATTTATTGAATGCATAACTATTAGCTTAGGTAGAAAACGTAATATTTTTAGTGTTGTTGTATATGTTGGATAAATTTATACAAGTTTTTATTTGTAATGTGTTACTACTTCTGTTTTTATATTACGTCGTATTAATTTTTACGAAAGATTGTTCGGTATAATTGCTTATTTACAGTAACAGGTATATTATAACAGATTTTAATTAATATATATTAATTATATATAAATACATGTTGTCGAAATTAAATAAAATGAAAATTTAATTTTGTAATTATTTGTAACGGGCAGCAAAATTGTCAGTTACAAATAACCAGTTATTCGTAACGGGCACTTTTGTTGCCCGTTACAAATAAGTGTTAAATTACATACAATAAAACTATGTTCGTAACGGACATTTAAGATGTTAAATGTCCGTTACGAATAATCACTTATTCGTAACGAGCGTTTTAGGTAACCG